CGCCAACGCGCTCTTGCTGCTCTTCACTCTGACTCACACTGTCCTGGCGGCACCTCCCTTGTCCTTGCATGTCATTTTGTAGGATTCGCTTCGCACGTTGGTCACCCTTTGTCAAATCCTCCCACGCCTCGCAGCTGAAGTACAGGTCGCCATCTATCGTGCATACATTGGGCGATCCTTGACATTCACACTGGCGCTGCGAGCCATACGATACAGTACGAGTACGACAAGTGCCATCAGGCGGATCTTGCAACCACTGAGGGCCTGCTCCTATTGGGCCCGCGTCGCGTCGCAAGGAGTTTGCCGCACTCGTCGCAAGCCGCTTCGCCTCTTTGTGTTCGCACTTCATAGAGCCGAAGAATGCGCATGGACCTCGTCCGCATTGACTTTGTCTAGTCCAACCAGCGGCACGAGAGCTCGTCACTGTGTGCTTATCTGGACTTGACTGCTTCTACAGCGGTCTCAAGTGTTGCACTTTGATCGTCTCGGGTACGGGTGCAGTGTAACTAGATTGACGCCGCCCGGAAGACTCGTGACCGTGGAAGCGGCCCGAGACGAGAGCGGATCCGCTCCTCAACGGAATCACGATGTCATCAGCCTCCAACGAACGGGTGGGGCAGCTCCAGGACACGCCTTCTCGTACCTCTGCAAATCATACTGCATCGATAATCCCCCAAGCCGCACGTCCGGCAAGCACGCCATCACCGAAAACCTCAGAACGCAACAACGCCATTGCATCTCCTCAAATCCAATCCGAATTCTTGTCGGCAGGTAACCCGCTAACGGCGATCCTATCCAAGAACTCCAGTCCTGCCTCCAGCATCACCTCATCGCCCGTCAGGGTCGCACAAATACTGACACCGACGCCGGCTCGATCATCGCATCACTTCTCATCCGCGGTGTCCAGCAGCTCCGAGGGCTCCAAGCGAGTGGTGAGATATTCTACCCGAAACAGCGCGTCGAGTCTCGAGATCGATTCGGACGACGGGGCCTTTGGCGACGAGGATTCGGAGGCCGAGGCAGTGTCTTCTCGCTTTCCTCGACACAGGAAAGTCGAGAATCCTCCTCGAGGCGATCGGGCGGGCCCTCAAATCTCCCAGAATCGCGTCGCAGCGTCAGCGGCGTCGCACAAGCACACCAAATCACCCTCCAGCGCTCGGCATATGGAAGACCCACCCAATGTTGCCCCTTCTGAGCACCAATCGCAGCGAGCCTCATTAAACTCACCGCAACTTCCGCGAGACCCTGCGCCAGGTTCGCCCGGTCTTTCTCGTCCAGAAGGCCACATCCGCTCCATTCTCAAGGCACCAAAAGCCGGCTCTGGTGTCATGTCGCTTGACCTTTCGGATACCAGAATTAGTGCGACGTGGGCGGCGATCGCCTCCTCCGACACGCGGATATCATTCTTCGTTTTGGGATACCTCCACTCGGAAGGCACGTCTGCGCAACATGATCCAGTCAGGAGTTCGACCATCTCCGCGGTGTCTACGGCATCTACTCAATCAACGGTCACTCTGCGACCCGGCGTGCCCCAGCCGATGATCGTCGTCGCCGAGGGCACATACACGGGCGTAAAGGGTTTAAGATCTATCCAGGAACATCTGATACCGTCTGAAGCCCGTTTTGCTATTTTGCGCGTCATGGACAAGTACCTTTTGGTACAGTGCCTTGGGGAGGGTTTGAGGTGAGTGAAATTCCTTGTCTTCATGTTGTCTGCTCGGATCAAAGATGGCGATGACGCGAGTCACGAAGATCGCACAATGTCGCGTGTCTCATGGGTACAGCCACGGAGCTGTGCCGTCCCTCCCGCGCCTTCGTGTGCACGTAATCGCACGGGCGATCTCTTTGATGGAAGATGAAGAAGAGAATCAATGCTTCGATGCACGGACCGCTGCGAGGAGTTGCAGTCCGGGGAGATGCACTTCGTGCGAAGGCCAAGCCTTGAGGCACTTTTGGAAGGCAGACTTCCACTATAACAGTGTGACTATGATTATCGGCAAAGCTGACACGTCTGTACTTCTTCTGTCCCACAGCGGCGTGCGCAGAGCGAGGGCTTTAGTACACGGGCGCTCGCTGATGGCTCACTTTCCCACGCTGACCGCGACGACAGTCGTATCCAAAGCTGTTGAGCTCACCGACTTTTTGATCCGATTCAAACTCAAACTTAATGCCGACACGCCATTGCGCCCGCTGCGTATACATCGAGGTGAAACGGACGACGAGTGGGAAGAGACGGATGCGGAAAGTGTTAGCGTCATGCAAGGCCCGATTCACGACACCAACGGAGGACACCAATCGCCCGCCCTTGCAAGCTCGAGCGCAAGCTCCCCTGACCTTGATGACGGACCTCGTGATGGTCACGAGAGCCGCGAGAGCCGCTACGACTCTTCCAGGTACTCGAGAGACACGGACGCGAGTACTCCATCTACACGTGACATTGCCACGCCTTCCAGCCTCGGTGGAGACATCAACGGATTCCCTCTTCCTCCGGAATGCAACGGCTTGGAACGTAAATTGGCAGGTGATGAGACTGAAGATGGCAGAGCCACAAAGATGAGCACTGCCAGCCAAAGCACTACCGGCTCCACCATCTTAGGCTTGGGAATGTCCTCTTTGGCGAAGGGGTATCTCAGCGCCCGAACTAGCGTCGCCACCCAAAGAATGCGAGATCTCGCACCGACGCCTATCACGGAAGAGGGCAGCTCGTACGACGACCGCAGAAGCTCAGTCGCGACGGAGCTTCCTATCTCGAGTCAAATTCCTCCTCGCGAGCGCGAGTTGCCCCCCCTTCCGCTCGATGAGCCGGACGAGACCGATGCCTATGGTGGAATCGGCGCCGATGGTTCTGCTACACCGCGCGTGAATACGTTGACGCTTGGCTCGACGGAGGCCAGACTCCTGGAACAGATCGTGAGCCCTGAGCCCGGAGACGACGCAGAAGAGCGAGACCGGCTCGAGCGCGAAAAGCAAGACTTCTTGAGCTGGCAACACGAGCAAGCGGAGCGCATTGAAGCGAAAGAAAAAGCCCGCGCAAAGCGGCGGGAGCGCGAAAGGATCAAGCGCGACGAAAAGAAGCGCGAGCAGGTCATGTCCAAGCTCAAGAGGGAACAGGAGAGCTGGGCGGGTGGTGACGTCAGTGATACGCCCAATGGCCACTCGAATCCGAGGCACGATACCCCAAACTCTGGCCGCCATCGTCGCGTTGACAGCAGGCAGAGTGGAAGTGAGAGTCAGAGCGGCCGTAGCGCGCACACCCAATCGGAGCTGCGTGGAGACAGTCGTATCAGCAACAACAAGTCGTCGGGAGACGAGTCGAGCGATCATAGGAGACGCAATGTCTTATCACCGCTGGGGGCGCCTCCCAATCTTGCCTTGCCGCCAACGCCAAGAACGCCCGCTCTCGTCCGCTCCCCACGGTCACCTCCCCCGTTGTCGCCACTGCCACGCACCCCCAGAGAAATCGCAGCGGCACATCGCTTGTCGGAGGGGCTCACCTCGCCGAAGCGTGCAAGCTTCCCAGAGGCTCGCAGTCCGCCGCTTGGGCCTGCAACGCTTCCCTCTCACGAGGCGCCACCTAAACTCGCTTCTAGCAGGCCTGTATCGGCCAGGATGAGCGAAGGACCGAGCAGAGCTGACGTCCGGTCTCCAGAATTCAGGCTGCCAATTCTCACTGCGGGATGGACTTGCACGCCAGAGGCTGAATTTCCTGTCGATGAGATAGCGCACGATGAACGTGCTCAATCTTCGTCCTCTACCGACTCGCCGAGTGTCGCGACTGGTCTCACGGCAAGCGCTGTCGACAGATCACGATCGAACTCGTTGCTGGCGTCAAGCAGTTCTCATCACCATGGGGCGGGACCTTCGTGGCCGTACCGCAGTCGCAATCCCACGTGGAGCGGCAGTACTCTCAACACGGCTCCAACTTCCATCGCGACATCCCCACGAAGACCTCTGCTCAACCTGGGGAGTGCCGGAGAAGCTAGAATTGGGCGTCACTCGCGGAACGGCTCGAAAGATGATGCAGCTCGCGACGGGGCAGTCTTGAGCCCAACAGCAGCAGTCACGACCACTCCAGAGCTCACGGGCATGATCCGAAAGAAGAATTTGCCCCCACTTCCTAAGTCGTCCTCGGGCAGCGAGAATGAGAGTAGTCCGGAAGAAAAGACTTTGTCAGCTGAAGCGAGACAGCGGGCACGAATGGCGGATCAGGCAGCTCTGGCAGCTCAGGCTCAGATCGAAATCGCCCGGGCTGAGCAGCGCAGACTTGCTTTCGAGATCAGCGAATCTGAGCGACGTAATCGTGAGCGGAGCGAAGCTGAAGTGCTGATACGTGCAAAATGGGCAAAGGAGCAGGCGAGTCGCAATCAGCTGGATGCATACGAGCGAAGCAAGCTCGAGAGCGAGGTGAGTCTGCTAGTGGAACTTCCTTGTGTATGATGATGACGCGGCTGACATCTGGCTTGCTCTCAGGAACGTCGCCGCCGCGCCCACGTCGCTGAACAGAAGCGAAAAGAGGCGGAAGCCGCCGAACGAGCTCGAGAGGATCAAAGGCGCCAGGAGATTGAAATGCAAGAAGCCCTGGAGCATTCGGCGCGCAAAAAGAGAGACGCGCAGGCACGAGAGGCCAAGCTCGTGGCGGATGCTGACGCGGCTCGCAAGCGTGGAGAAGCGGCTGCTATTCGGAAAGCGGTCAAGCAGCGCGATCGAGAGATGCTTGCCAAAGAATTTCTGCGTTTGCAAGCTGCAGGCGATATGGTCTTGGAGGGAGATTTGAGCGTTCAAATTGGAGACGCTACGGGCTGGAAGAGGCGCTGGTTCGCGCTCAAAGACGGAGAAATTGCATTCTTCAAGACGTCTCATGACGCCCAGCGGAATACGCCCACCGAGCATTACAACCTTAGAGGGGCCATCGCATCGATCGAAGATGCTTTCGAGGAGGCACAGATGCCACACAGTTTCCGAGTCAACTTTACGAGCGAGAGCGGTAGCGAATGTTTTGTCGCTTACACTGACACCGAAGACGACATGGAGGTGCTGCTGGTTGGGATGCAAACCTTGAGCAAGCAACTCGCCTAGCGATACGGGCAACTCGCATCTGACACCCGACCTATTTCCCAAATCACTTGGGCAATAAGTTCGACGTTCCCGCTGGCATACTCCTCGGCCCCTCTCCCTCTAACCTTGCTGGGAAGCACGCTAAACTCTGAAAATCCTTGACCAATCCGCTTTCAGTCTCTGTCCCTACTCACTCCTCACACATCCTTCACTGGGGAACGTCCCCTTCTCCGATGTGCCCACTCTCTACATGATATCTGTGTACCATACCAACTGTCACCTCTGCACACCCTTTGCTTTGCAAATGCTACAATCTTCATTGCAGTCCCTCAAAGGTTCGATCATGCTGGGAAGAGGTCTGAAGAAAGTGGCTCGTGCAGGAAGTTAGGTAATGCAAGATGTCGACTGCGGCGATGAGAACAGTCTGATGAACCGTCACTATAACCCGCCCTTTGTCTTCGGTTGATTCTGCTGACATGGCCCATCGCGTCGCGCGCCACGATTGTCTCATCTGCCATGGTGGCTTAATTCTGATTCAGCTATGAAGTTTGGAGACATTAGTGATTATTATATACTGGCGACTTCAGCGATCGTCTTGTCTCGCCGACGGGCTCGTGACCGCCTTTGGTATTTCCGCCCTCTCGTCTGCACCAAACGCGGTCATTCTGGCACTCCTGAGCGGAGCATGGGGGCGGCGATCGATGCGGATCTACTGTATACTAGTTCTATTGCACCTTGCTGACTTCCAACACCCCGCTTGAGCCTCGAACGCAGCAGCATGACGGACGCGGCGTCGGTCCCACCGACGTCCGCCGCGCACGCGCAGCACTACTCTGCGCCGGACCGATCGACTGATGAGTAGTGATGGATGACTCGCGACTGCATCAATCAGCATGCAGCAGCCATAGCAGCGAGAATAGCCGAACGCGAGGATTCACGCAGACGCCGCGATATATGCTGCTGCGCTGAGCCGATGCTATTAAGCTTGATCGTGGCCTGCATTGCGCCCGCGCGATGGTGCCCGTGCCCGGTGCTTGGTGCATGCTGGGTGCAGGCCATCGTGGACCCGGAACCGCGCTCTATGGCAGCACCTCGCGTCAACTG